TCGGGCAGCTGGGGGCGCTGGCCGCCTGCGGCCCCTCACCTTCATCAGCACAGACTCGCTGAGCTTCTCGCGGTTGACGATCTTGATGGCCACCTTCTGGCAGGTGACACAGTGGATGCCCAGCTTCACGAGGCCTGCGGGGGCGCCCGGTCAGAGGCCGGCGCCACACTGCCCCACCGGCCCGGGGCCTGACCAGTCCCTCCCAGGCACCCCAGGGTGGGGAGCCCCCCGTCCCGCCCCAGCAAGCCTGCCCCTCCCGCCCCGGGATGCCCAGCCGCCACCCCCTCCCACGGAGCCCTGGCCAGAGATGCCCAGCCCCGAGTCCTGCTCCCCGGGTACCGCCAGCCTGCCACAGCCCTGACCCGCCCTGGCCCCAGACTGGAACACGCCCCGGGGCCCTGGGGTGCCTCTCCCACCTCCGCTGGAGCCCAGGTGCCGACTCCCCGCCCACCCCGTTTCCCCAGGGCAGCTCCGGGGGGTGCAGGGGTGGGCGCGGGGGTCATAAGCCCAGGGCTGCCTGCGTGGGTGACGGCTCGCCCGCTGGCGCCCCAGGGCCCTCTCAGGGGCAAGGACATGGCCCTGCCTCTCACCTGCCAGGATGCACTTCCTGCTTAGAAAGCCGGGGCCCCAGCACCCCGCCTTGCCGGGCCGCAGCGGGAGCGATGGTGTGTACCTGCGCCCCTCGCCGCGCCAGCCCCTCCCCCAGCACCCCCCGGGGTGTGGGGCCACCGGGCGAGGGCCCATGGGACTGGGCCTTGGAGCCCCCGAAGGTGTCCGGCAGGCTGGCCCCCTGCGCCTGCAGGGACCCGTCGCCCCGTTTCACACCTGGGGCGCTAGTGGCTACGTCATCAGCCAGTGCCCAGGTTCCCTGGGGCTGCCTGAGCCCCCCACCAGGGAGAGGCTGGCGCTGGGTCTGGGCCTGTGGCCTGGGGCAGGCACCTCCCACAGAGCTCAGTAAGGGAGCAGGTGACTTGCGGGGGGCGAGCCCTGAGCCCTGAGCACGGCAGCCCCTCCCCACCTCTGCCTTGCTCCCACGCTGCCCCTCTGCCCTGGACTCCTGTGCCCTCAGGGCCGGCGTGAGGCCCCTCCTGGGCAGGCCCCGCCCGGCCGGGCTCTATCAGCCAGGGCCTCGGTCCCCGATCCGGGGCAGCCCCCGCCTCGGAGGCAGGGCCGCGGCTTCCCCTACGCCCGCACTCACCCTGACTACCCGGCCCTCCACCCTTAATTTTCCAGTTGTGACTTTCCCTCTAATTGCTGTTTACGACTGCCGGGCGCTGAGGAAGCGGGCGTCTGACGGTGTCGCGGGCGGTGGGCACGGACCCGCAGCGGCGCAGCGAGGGGCCCCACAGCTCCCTCGGCCCAGGCTCCCTGGTAGGGGCAGGGGGCCCAGTCCAGCCCCGCGCTCCAGCCCAGGGGGCGAGGACAGGCCTGTGTGCCTGGGTCCAGGGGCCAGAGGGGCCAGGGCAGCCGGCACTCAGACCTACCTGGGTCCTGGAGCGGAAGGCGGCTGAGGGGCCGGCAGGGCCCGGCTAGGTCCAAGCAGATGACCAGGGAAGCTGGTCCAGTGGCCTCTGCCTGGCTGCCCGCTCCTTCTCACTGTGGGGCCACGGTGCGCTCGCCCATGTGCCCACAAACACGCCCAGCAGCAGCTGCGTGGGAGGGAGCTCGGGCACCGGCCCCACGCCAGCCTGCCCCGTCCCTCGGGTGGTGGGGGAGTCCCCGTTCTCAGGGGCTGCCGGGGCCCTCTGGCCCTGCCGCTCTCCCCTCCCCAAGAACAGGGTCTGTTCAGAGGAGACTGCGGCCCGCAAGGCCAGGGGCAGGGGCGGCTGAGTCCGAGGCAGGGGAGCCTGGACTTTCCGCGGCAGCGGCGGGCAGGCCGCTGTCCGCGGTGCTGAAGACACAGGTGCGCGCAGCGCGCGTGGCGGCTCCCGGGGCTGCAGGCGCAGCCTGGGCGACCGTTTTCCTCCACCCCTCGCTGTGGGGGTGGACGGCGCTCTGGGGCCAGACACAGCAGATGCGTCTGTCTCCGGGGGTGGACGAGAGAGCGGCCTCTCCCGCCTGGACTCTCCTGGGAGGAGGGTGGGGACGAGATCCTGCGCGGCGCCCCCCAGCTGCCCGCGCGAGCGGTGACGGGCCCTGCAGGCGCAGCGAGCGGACGCTGGGACTGGGGGGCGGGCGGGGGGTCCGCGCCCAGCCCTGCGCTGGCACTCCCGAGGGCGGCCAGCAGCCTCACGGAGGGCAGTGTCCACCTGCGCGGGGGGTTCTGCTGTCCCGGGCCCTCCCCGTCCCCACACCCGCCACAGCCAGCCCGTGACCCGCGTGGGAGGCCCGGGACACGGCGACGTCCCCCGGGGGAGGCGATGTTCCAGAGGGGCTCTGGAGGAAGAGCAGCCGGGGTGGG